TGTTTTGTTGTATAACATTTAATCCCAAGTTTTCATATACGTCTTATTATCAATCCAACTTCAACTTGTTAGCTGTAATCAGCTCTCATTGAGTATTTGGCGTGTAAAAAGACTAAGGGTAGTAAAAAGAGACAAATGTATGTTGTGAAGTATGTCTTAGAGATATGTAATGTAACATTTGTTCCCAATTTCCTCATGTATCGTGCTAAGTACATTCACTTTTTCAATTGAATTCATTTATCTCCCACTAATATAATGACAAGAGATACATAGTTAGATCTACTGGTACCGATAAGTGACATCTCCTTTACTTTTTTTCGCAAGTTTCATCTATTGCATATTATGATGCTTTGCCCAATTCGGAAGAAATGTTTTTTATTTTGATTACCTAAATAGGAAATTCATGTATGTGTTAATAATAATAATAATTGTTCATCAGATCTAGACAGTAACTCTATGGGTTGTTCGAACCTACGGTTTGACTCTTAAACCCTGCTAGCTCTTTGAAGTAGGATATATTCGTGACCTATTGTTGTCGTCTTGTTGTCGTCGAGTTAAACGACTCATAATTAGTGAATATCAAAGAATGACCATCCACACTATAATTTCATCACATGCGTCTATCTACATATCTCTGAGTTAATAATAAATATTCATATATTTTATGAAGTAGGTTGTAGTTGGGTATAAGTTAGAATGGACTATATATCGAGGCAAAATTAAAGTAAGGCAACTGCCAATGCAGCCATTCCTGCTCCAGCTGGAACTATGAGGCCTGCTGCACCAGCACTAGCACTTGATGATTCAGAGCTTGAACTAGAACTAGAACTTGATGTAGAACTTGCGCTTGAGCCGGATCCCGATCCCGAAGAGCCGGATTCTGAGGAGCCTGATTCTGAGGACCCAGAATCAGCAATTCTCGACAGGTACCATGGCAAGCCAGTGGCGAAGGATTCTAATGTCTTAACCTTGGCAGAATCAAATTCACTAGTGTAACCATTTCCAGTTGTAGCATAAATTTGTTTAGCTAATGATTCGAAATCACCTGGGATATCAGCATCTGCAGTCTGGACGTATGATAAGTATTCCTTGGTGTGAGATCTAGCATCATTGACAAATCTCGTGAGGAAATCAACTTGTGAGCTGTCAAGGGCTGCTTGGGATGAAGCTGCTAATAATAAAGCACCAAGTAAAGTAGTATATTGCATTATGAATGAAGGTTATATGAAATTGAAGCTTATAAAAAACTAATGAAAAAAAGTCGAAATTAAAATTCACCTCATTTTGAATCACTATATATACCAAAGGCAGGCATATCAAGTGAACATGCTATTGTTGATGATACTGTGAAAAATGCCATATTATAGCAGAATTAGGTAACTGTACAATAATAATACTGTACGCACTTTTGCGGAGATGAAATGACACAAAACATGATGGCGCAATTAGCATTACATAATACTATTCGAGCCTTACAGGTTTACAATGCTGCAGTATGAACATATGAGTAGATTGTTAATGGAAAGTCGTATTGAGATATATTGGTGGATATATATTAGCATTGTATATGTAACTATATTAATTCTAATTTAAGTAAAAAAAAATTAGCTATCATATCTTTGTCTTACAACAAGCTTTTTCAGCAGTATTGGAGTCAGATAATACGGACTTGTTGAATGTATTATTGGCCTGTGGAATATCCAAGGCAGGGTTCTTGTCGTAGAAGTTGAATGGGACCAATTCAATATTGTGGATTTCCACAGGCATAACTGGGAAATCTTCGACACGAGGAATGTGAGTGAAACCCACTGTAGCCCAAACAACCAAATCTTCGTTTCTGACAGGATCAACTCCGTTAGCCCAAGTACCTAAACCTTCATCGCGTTGGGATTGGTTTGTAAATTCACCGGCTGCGAATAATTCGTGGTCTCTATATTTAGTAACCCAAACTTGTTCAGTCGCAAATTTGGCTCTCTTGACGTTGAACGAGTCATCATCAGCTAAAATCATTTGTCTGGCAGGGATGACCACCTTGTAGCCCACAGGAGTCTTGGAGATTGGGTTGATTTTGTTTTCGTTGATAATCTTGTATGATCTGTTGGTGAATGGTGACTGGTCGATGTGACCAGCTCTGTCGACAAACTTACGTTCAGTGACGAAGCCAACACCATATGGGTTCAACTTATCTTTTGGTAATTTGACAACATCATCATATACAACCGAGTTCTTGTGGCCATCGATGGATGGGTCAATACGGAATGACAATATGTGTTGATGGTAGGCAGCCATGACGTTAGGACCAACGACAGTACCCCAAGGAACCTTAACATTTTCGTCAATAGGCATGGTTGATAAGATACCTGTAGCTCTTGTTTCAATATTGATCGAACCATCAGTAATAAACTTGACGTTGATAATATATTCGTAATTGGCAACAGTGGCAATAGTTTGGACAATAAATTCACGACGTCTGGCAACAACAGCATTATTTGTTCTATAGTTTACGTGCTTGTACAATAACCCGTTGTCTTGTTCATGCATACAGACTGTGTTTGGAATAACAAATGGTTCACCATTGGCGTGAATTCCAGTACCGTCCATGTATTTAATAACACCAAGACAATCACAACCTAAACTTAAATGGTTACCATTAACCCCAAATCCACAGTCCCCTAAATCAAAAGCTTGTTTTCTATGGTATGGAGCTCTTGGATCACCGTATGGCACTGTCATTTCCGACAATGAGATACGGTAGAATACTTGTCTTCCTTTGAATGAAGCATCGTAGATAGCAAATCCTTCTCTAGCACTAGTGGCCACTCTGAATTCCCAACCTTGCCATTTAACCTTGGAGCCTTCAACTGAGAATGATGGGCCTTCAGGTTGAGAAATCAACAATGGCTTAACGTCTCTCATGTTTGCTTCATTATTCAAGTCTGGATGGTATTCAACACATGGAACTTCTTGCCATGGCATTGTTGGAGTTACTGTTTCATCAAATCCACCAGGTAAATAATCTATTCTAACAAATTTATTGGTGAAGGCTTCAAAAACTGGAGAAAACTTTAAAGGCAACGAGTAGTGGTTTGACTCGGTATGTCCATTTCCTGCCAAAACGTACATGAAAAATTGCACTAAAGGCCTTCTTTCATTTGGGTCATCAGTGGCATAGATCCACGGATCATTTCTAACGGTGTATCCAGGTGGCAACTTCAATTTTTCAATCTCTGCCTTGACTATAGGGTGACTAGTACAAAGCTTCTCCCATTCCATCATATCATCTGGCAAGTATGGGCCCACAGTACCATGTGGTAATTGAGTCTTGGTAATAATATGACCAGCAGTAACGTTAACCAATGCCTTATTAAAAGTTAATGTGTTTGTATAATAGTAAGTGTATAAGATTCTTGGAATAGCCTGTGGAGTTTGTCCCACTTTTTCTGCGTCTAAGTATTTAATCATGTCTTTTTTTGGTGGATCGACTCTGTCGATCTGAACAAAATGAACATTTGCGGAGGCTGGATATGCATCTTTCACTAATTTTGATGCAAGTCTAATTTCAAAATCTTTTACTGAGTCAAATGGATGAATACGAGTCATGTTGTAGTATCCTAGGCTTTTAGTAGTTATTATATCGGAAAGAATATTCATAGATAGAAAAATTCTGTTCTTTAAATATCAACTCAGATAAAGTTCGCTATCTGCTACAATTACCTAATTGGGAAGACCGCTTATATCGAAAGATTATCATGTTCAACCTTCCTAATTGGTTAAAATAAAATCCGGGAAGACTATCCTTATTAACAATTTCGCCTGTATAGAATCTGATAGATATAACGGGAGATATAATGAAATCGGATAGGGCGATCCCAAAGATACGCTATCTTCGCTTCTTGAATCTGTTCTTATCGGATAGTTTTGCGCATTACAGCTTTCCGTGCACCAATGCCTGGCATTCGTTCACTTAATACTAATACTTGTATATCAATATATACAACAAATGACTATTTAAATCTAAAGATGATAAAGATAAAGAACCAAACTCAGCCATAAAAAACCTGTACACCAATACAACGACTAAAATACAACGACTAAAATAACAAAGGATGAAAATAAAACTAAAGAACTAACACGTGACACATTAAAACCAGCAGTTAAGCCTGTTATCCATAAACCAGTTACTTATTGTGGATAGCAGGAGAACTTACACGCATCTTTGTTTGGGGATTGACAATTTCCAACGGCTTCTTGATTCTTGGTGTGTGGACTCTAGGAGACTGCGCACCACTGTTCATGGGAGACATGGGTTCATGATTGCTTTCGGGTTGAATGACAGGAGAAAACACAGATGCGGTGTAAGGATTAAATCTCTTGGCCGGTGGGCTATTTCCTGCGATCTCAGGAATGTCAGGACAAAATTCCATGTCATCCTCGATGTCAAATGACTTAGATAAGTAGTATCTTAATCTTGGTGTATGGAACGAATAGTTGGACGAGTTACTGGTAACTGTAGATCCCAAAGAGCTAGATGTAGAACTTGCAGAAGATTCTGCTGAGCTTGGTGTATTATAATTCAAATTTGCAAATGTTGGACTGGTTCCAACATGAAGACTTCCGTTCGGAATGGAAGGGGAATACAGTTGTTGGTAACTGTTATAAACATATTGATTTGACATTATTCCGTTATGTGCTTGTATCTCTCTGATTGCTTATATATAATCATAAATATTGCTAAAGGTATATCTTGAATGATAAAAACAAAGTAGAATATATGATATTTTGGCTTTATTATCTGTTCGTTAAGTCAGGAGCAAGTCATTTCATTATGTAATAATTCATAATCGGGTGATTGATTATGTAATCGGTACAAACAAATTGTATTTCTTTTTTATTCTACGATTTCTAGAGCGAATATATTATGGGGACTAAGAACATTATATGTCTGAATGTTTTCTTCTAGACGCTCAACATAAAACTAGCAGGCTGAAGTTGGTATATTTTTTTTTTGTTTTGAAGCTGAAGGAGCAGGCAAAATGCGGTAAGGTCTAGTTTTGTAGCCAAAAGGATTCAGATTTCATGCTTTCGATTTGTAAAGAAAACCGTATATAAATATGAAATTAAAAACGTAGAATGCAACCAGCCAAGGATAGATTTGACACTTTACTGTCCCTCGTATTTGAGATAGATTTTAAAACTATAAAACTTTGATTCTAACAGAAGTCTAAAGCTAAGGGAGGAATCTGTTGATAGAAAATAAATTCTGCAAAAAGCAGAAATTTTATCCAAATCTCTTAAGATCAAACAAACCTACCTCCAATTTTGCTGTTAATGGTTACATATCATCTCGAAAGAGTTCACGTTATTAGTCATAACAATAATAAACGCCGGCTTACTTATTTTTTGCATAGAAGGAGAGAGTTCAATCAATCGAACAATCTAGTAATGTAGCATGCAAAATAAATTGACAGATTAAGACTATATTCTCTAGGATTTCTTGAATTGAAATGAAGACAGTTTAGAGCCAAATACAGAAAAGTAATCTAGAAGAAAATATTGTTAAATATTTCGTGTCTGAAATTACAATTTAGCATATAGGAATATCGGATCGATAGTTATAAGGCATTTTTGGCTTTCATGCAGAGTTCTGTTTGTAGTCGATCTTTGCGATTATGCAAGATAACTTTATTTGGATAAATTATTTTATGCATGAATTAAGAATCCTAAGTAGCGTAGAATTAATAAATAAAGAAGTTTTCAGTTCGTGTCATTCATCTTCCAGATTTATGAACTATTATCTTAATTACCGCACAAATTATAGAAATACAAGCTGTTTTTATCTAAATTCTTCACTTAAAAGCATGAAATACTCTTCTTGTTTATAAGGTTTGTATAACCTTATATAATTCATTCAAGGCCGATTTTTCTACTACTTGACAGGATAACGTTTATAGGTGAGTTGATCTAATTACAAGACATAATGTCCATGATCAATAATTGGTGGAAGAACTTAAGTTATATGAACAGTTATTAAACATTTTGCAGCGAATTATCATTCAGCCAGCTACAAACATTATTAGTAGTACATGAAACAATTAGATTATATCAAAAGTCTAACAATAACAATGAAAACATATCTTTCGGATAGAAGTTACATGTATCACCATAATTCACTTGGCCTAAATTTTATTCTCAACCTAGAACTACTTAAGAAATTAGAATTCCTGTTATGAAATTTTGTAAAAGTATTTATTGTAACTTAAGGCTATTATTAGTGTGAATTATGAAGTTAGTTTAACTAACCTGGCGATTCTGGTTAATAAATCCACAAACAATCAATATAATAAAGGAGCAGTAGTTGAACAAACGTCTACAAAAAACCAGTCAAATAAGAACGGGATTGATGCGGAAGCGAAAGTTATCAAGGACCGTGGTTTTCACTGCGTTGAAGCTTCAACGGAATTGATGTATAATCGAAAAAGCAATAGACAATTGAAGGCAATTTTAGGCGCCGTTTCAACTGCAATTTGGGAACTGAAAATGCGAAGTGTATTTAGAACGTATCTACCTGGTTCTGTTACTGATGAACAGATTAACTTATATTTTCAAGACATCACTGCAATAAGAATAGATTTTGAATGGGGGAGTGAAAAAAGATTATGTGCTATTAGGCACACAGAGTTATACATTAATACTTTCTCGCAGTTGCTGTCTTGCAAGTTATTCGTTTTGTAGCAGTAATGCTCCAAAAAAATTTCTATTTGAGAGTACTCAGAATGCATTTGAGTTTTCTGATGAGATTCATATTTGAATGAACCCGGAATGTAGAAAAATCAAAAGAAAAGTGGTATGTTGCATTATTCGATATTTGGTGATGATAATAAATGAATCTAATAACAACCCATACCAATAAATGAATTAATAAAGAACTGCTCTAAATAATATCATAGCACATATTGCATACTTGAATTATTCCCATTTTTGTAAGTAACCAGAATCATTATAACTGAGTTAAAAAATCAATATCCAGATTTAGATCATAGGAATAAGTTGCCACTTTTGATATGCTTTCGTAATCTATTTGTATTGCCAGATTATTATTAAGTAACTGCATCTTGATAAGGGACCCTAGTAAGTCCTCAACGAATACAATTAATTTTATTCAAATTGAACCAAAAATGTCCTTAAGAATAGTATAGAGTATATAATTTTTTCTCGTCGAAATCAATTGCGCGGAGCAATATGTTGCAACAAAAGCATTTATTTATTAATAAATCGTACAGATCCCTGCATATTTTTGCTCCTATTTGTGAAATATTCGTAAAGGCTCTTTGTGGATATGTTTATAATTGACTATTTAAAAGACTGTTTCCGGCACTATTTTATGCAAGAGCAATGTTACCAACTTATTATTAATCGATATATATATAAACATGACTGAACAAATAAATGATCCACTTCCACCTCCCAGTAGCTACTTGAATACCGCAGTAAGGAAAATGCTTCGAGATACCGTTGATGAAAGAATTCAAGAAATTGTCCAACAAACAATCGAAAGCTTAAACCAGGGCCCACCTACTTGGTTCACTAACGAAATGAGCAGAGTAAATGATAAGCTTGATAGTCTTGAGAGAAGAATGGAATCTGGCTTCAACCTTTTCGATTACAGAAATGCATGTCTTATCAATATGTTCAGGAGAATGAATGGATGTAAAGCTATTCCTGTTCCATTCTTGGCTGCGGAAGCTATTCTAGGTCATCAGTTACCTCCAATTGCTTCTGTTGAAGATATTGACTTACTAGATAGACATGATTGCCAAACATATTTAAGAGCATATCAAGTCCAATTTCATCCTAATGAAATAGTCAAGTTAAAAGAAAGATTAAGAGATGCAATTGGCTTAGCGGTTAATCATGATGTGTGCTTTCAATTCAGTGGTTTCCATAGTTAATTTTGAGTATTTCGACAGAATTGTGATGGCTTTAAAGATTTATGGCTTTAATTTTTTGATCTACTTAGTTCACGAAGATTATGATTGGTTCTATATTTAGATTATAATAAACACTTAATATTAACGCAATATTCAGCATTGCTCATTGTGAAATGTAAATAATTCTGTATATATTGGAATATTAAACTGTATTAAATACGATATATTACTTAATTCTCAGTTGGAAGATCAAGTTGCAAGTACTTGAAAGAACTGCTAAATCTATAATCCTTATAGGCTTCCACATATTCTGGATTATTGACTTCAACTATACCATTGTTGGAACTTATAACATCACCATTCCCACAAACTAAAAGTATACCCCGAGGCATTTTTTCTGTTGGAGGAAGCCTTTCTACCATTTCTTCCCCAAAAATATTACTTACTATGTTCTTTCCAGCTATGGCAGCCATAAAAAGTGCCCATCCCGCAGTTTTAATTATAGGTAAGTCAGCAATGTCCCCAATGCAGAAAAAATTCAGAATAGTTTTCTCACCATTTGATAACTGCAACATGTCATTGACTCTCAATGTTGAATCGGGTAGGAGAAAATCTGATCTTAAATATTTATCAACAATCTTGATATTATTATACTTTGATGTGCTCCAGTAATTCAAGTCTGATTTAATAACCGAACCAAAAGTTGTCAATAAATCACCATTCTCTAACTCTTTTTCAATCCTGGTGTCATAATGAATACGTATTTGCGCTCTTTCCAATGATTCCTTAACAGCTTGCTTCAATTCGCCAGAAAGAGGTTCGGGTGGGAAGGAGTCATGAGGGTGAATCAAGTTAACATGCTTATTAGGAAAGAAATGTTTGATTTCTCCAGATAACTCAATACCAACAGCCCCAGCTCCAATAATTGATATGGTTTGAATATCTTTATTAGAAATTACATCATAGAATTCTTTCATTTCTTTGAGAAACTCCTCTTTTGTTCTTCCAGCTGGTGTAACTGGATAGTTCCTATCTCTTCCTGAAGCTAAAATTACATAGTCAAATTTTATATTTCTGCTTTCATCTCCATTGATAGTAAAGTTGGCTTCTTTCTCTCCTACATTCAAAACTTTTCCTTGAATACATGTTACTTCAAAAAGATCATCTTTATCTTCCTTATCATTGGTAACCTTAATATTTCCGGCCGCATCAATAACCCTATGTATACCTAAGCCACCAATATCTGTATATTTAAAATATTGAGTTGAAGAAAATTCCATGTCAACTAATGTACGAGGTATAGCTATCAAGTTCAAAAACCCTTCCCTCGGTTCAATCATAGTAATCTTGAGCTTTTCATTTCCTCCCCTTAATTTATTTTCAGTTTGCTTAGACTTAAGTATATCTCGAATAATCTTTAAACTAGTCAATCCTCCATAAGAGCCACCAATTATAAGAATATTAGTATAATGGCTCTTTATTGTACTTATTTTACCCACTATTTTAAGCATGATTATCACTTATCATTTTAAGCTTATTATGCAAGGGTCTTTTCCTGTCTTTATATTCTTATTCTTATTCTTCAAATTAAACCGAGCTCGGATCTGGTTCTCTTACCAAGATCTCAAACTAAAGCTTGGCATATTATAAATTCCTACTTTACTCAATCTACCAATTTCATTACGGTGGTATGAAGGAATAAACGAAACTCTAAATGATGCAAAGGTGCTTTTCGCACTGTTTAACTGATCATATTACATGTTACATACAACGTACCAGTCATTAATTGATAACAAAGAAAGATAAAGAACTCCGCGCTCGGACTTCTTAGGGGGGGTTATAATATTTCTGTGCTCTCAATAAGCATAACTACACTGTAGAGAATCAAATTTACTAGTTAAAATCTTAAATTATAGCTTTATGCTGATTATTTAGGCTTCCATCGTACATCTCACGAGACAATCTGGAGTTTCTTAGAAGATTAATCTAAAAAGGCAATATAAACCATAATAAAATATGTATTTAAAAGTATTCTATAGTGGAATTAACTAAATCCAAATAGCATTTATTGTTGTGAAATCGTACACATCAAGATTTCCCTCTCCTAACCCAACTACAAAATCTGCCTCATCCCTTTGCGAAACAATTTTTGCACCCACAGCTCTCGCATGCATAGAAATAAGTTCATTAATATTAACCTTGCTTTGCTCCATCTTGAGAAATGCACGAATAACATCCACGGAGCTTGCAATGTTATTAACAAGGCTGTTCGAAACGTGTCTACGAGTTAACATCTTGGTATCAATCCATATCATTTCTCTGGTTTTCATATCAAAAAGGCAAATACTAGCTGACTTTCCGTTGTTAGTGATATCAAATTTACAACGAACTGTTGATGGCTCAAATATTTCACCAGATTGTGGCTCCTTACGAATCATAAAGCCTGCAAAACTTTGTTCGTGTTCTAAGAAGCTAGAGCCAGAGAAAACTCTAACATCCATGCAGACATATCGCTTTCCAGACTCTTGTGCCTTTATAAGATCAATATCAATAAATTCACTGGCTCCATCTGGTGCAGGTGCAGATCTAATATCACCTGAGTGCCAGGCGAAGCCTTCTTTCAAATTTGTGAAAGCAATGTGACTCAGAGAATTCAAATCTTCACTCAAAAATAATGCACTTAAATCTTGATCTTTACCTATCCAATGAATAAACATACGAAGTGTATTTTTTTCGATATCTTGAGATATAATATCAATTGGTATCCTGGAACCACGGGATATTGTTCTTTTATTATCAGATATAGATGACAATTGTGAGGGTAATAAAACAGATTTAGCTTCTGGTGCGATAAATACTGCTTTGTCTTTTAATATACCTCGTTTATAGAACTGTTTTTCCAATTCAATGGTAACACTCCTTGTGATTGTTGTAAGAATATCTTTGTCTAATTCAGCTAACTTGGGGGCCAAAATGGCTTTTCCTAGGCTACCTGCGGTAAAAACAACTCTCGTGGTTGACTCATTGACCTTACGTCCTTTAAAATGACCGAGAAGCAGTAATAGGATCTTACTATCAATTTTATTAATTATTGAATCAAATTGCTTTAAAATTAATTCTGCTGTTTCTTTATTGGAATCCCTCAACAATTTATCAAGAGAACGTGCAAACACGGACGGTTTATGTATCAACTTTTTCACTGCCAATTCCGTGTTACCTTTTTTAATAGCTTCTGCTATGATCGTTTCAGACGTCTTCACATTTCTTTCGTTACGAAATCGAGATGCAATTTCAGCAGTTTTACCACCATATTCACCCACATGAAGTGAATGAAATGCTATTTTCCACAAGGATTCGTATGCCTTAATATCAGAGATATTTATTACTTTTTCTAGTGCCGATATTATCACTCGGCGATATCTGCGGCTCAATGATTTGAAGCGTATTTTATTTTTCAATTCAATATCTGATTCTGATAAAGAAGCCATAACACGTAGTATGTCAGTAGACGTTGATATTATGTTATCAATTGATTCTCCATTCTTAACAAGAAATGCTGCAACACGACATAAATTTTCTTTGAATGGAATTTCTCCAGTAAATCCAGTGGCCCATCCTTCATCGATGGCCTTTTCAACAAAGGTTATCAATCCTTCTGGAACACCTTGCTTTGATGACAAAATTTTATAGAAGTATGCCTTAACATGATTAATAGAGATCAAAGAAATAGTTATTTTATGGGTCATTTCATTAAGTTCAAGTCGACTTGATTCTATATAGAAGGGTTTCCAGTGTCCGTGACTCCAATAGTGAATTGCAGCCAAAAAATACAATTCAGCCTCTGGCATATTCATCACTTGAAGAGGATAATCTGGATAAAATGCTTTCATTTTCACATGAGCACCGACAGATTCTTTAGCTGTTTCTAATATTTCAGTACACTTTTTTTCTGAGTGCTTCAAATTACATAGATAGTTATAGACTTCTTCTGTGATAGAGAAACCAAGATTTAGCATCTCATGAGCAAAAGTAATAACAGATATGTTTAATACAGTCTCGTTCTCTACTACATTGTTATAAACAATGGAGTTTAATTTATTTAATGCAACCTTTTCGAATATATTCATGAAGCTTTAAAAATTAAGAATATAAATGAGCGAATAAAATACTATTGTAATTCTAAGCTGGTGAATATATAACTTTTTATATGAACCTCCAAGGGTTTTCGTCTATGAGTAACACGCTTTGGATACTGAGTCAGAAAGGTCAGAAAGTGAGTCATTGAAGAACCACATACAAATTTTAGTTCCTTAGTTAGTTTATGAGTCATTTTTTGCATCCTCAATTAACTATTTAATACTCGAAAATTCCAGCTAAATGGTTGTTATTTTTAAGAAGAATAATCCAATTCTTTATCATATATTAACTTAGGATAAAACTCCTCGAATGATATTCGGATTTATTCATGCTGCTGTTGAAGACCTTCGCAATATGAGGCCAAGCTAAGGTCAAGTGGAATTATTTCAGATAAGTTTCCTCCATCATTAATCGGCTTATTCATTAGATACTTCTATTTTTCCCAGTTAACGTTTATCGCTAATGATGCTTTCCGATATGTTGTTGAAAAACAAAGAAACAGGCTTATATATTAGATACTTCTACATTACATAATTTTGATTTATTCCACTAATATTACTTTCTTGTTTCATTACTGCTTTCATAGATCACAAAAAGCTCATGTAGATTATATAAAAAACTCATGATTTAGATGACTTTTCTGTTTCTCCTGTTTTCTTTATGAAGTAAAAAAGCAAGACGCATGACGTATGGAGTGTCAGTCAAAACGGGATGCCATTGCTGTCGTCAGCTAAGTTATCAAATCTTATACAACTCGTATATGTTTTTACCATCTCGAGTCCAATGCAATATAAATATGCTCGTGGAGAGTTTTGTAAAATCTACCAAATATCTACCCTTGTTGTCTAGATTTAATGAAAAAGAGTTGTAGTCGGAATAATGCACAACTAAAATCTCATTGTGAGACTGATTTACCATGAAATAATTTTCTTCAAATGACGATATCTGGTGAATTATATTATCATTAAAATAGTTAATGGTCACGGGTTGTGAATTAGGATCTTTGTAATTATAGACTTTAATTGATTTCAATCCTACGATTATAATATCATCATTGGCTCGAACGTGAAAATCGTTCACGATTTCGTCATGAGTTATAACCATATAGGTATGCAAATTGCTATCTAAAATAAATAGTTGTTTTGTCGATCCACTTATGAATGTATTACTATCTTTTTTCATGATCTTTTTTATCCGATACGCACCTTTTCGGACTGTAAACCTTTTACATTTATGAAATTTACCAATATCACTAAATTCAAATAAATAACCGTGCCCACGATTAGTTCCAAGTATCAATTGGTTATCCTGTATTAATGCGCTTGTAATTCTGCAATAATTTTTGAATCCAACACCAGTATACTGGTAATCTCCAGATGAAAATTTCATTAACTTGATGCCAAGCATCAGCATCAACTCACTTTTTACATTTTTGTCATCAATGTTTCGAACAAACTCTATAAATTTTAGGCTGAGGTCTTTCGTCCTTTTCTTTGAATCATATTCTTCAAATTTAAAAAATCCCGCGAACATATCTGTGTCGCATGCAATAATTGTGATGTACTTAAATACAAAATTCCCATCAGTAACTAATAATTCGATATCTGGTTCGAATATCAGAAAGCCCTCGTTCGTTAATTGCTGGTGATAATTCGCTAACTTCAGTTCGATGCATCTAGCATATGTTGAAACATTTCCTTTTTCATCAACTTCAGATATATCCATCACATATTTAGTGGTACTTATAAAGAATTTGTCTCTAAATATACCCCATATTCTATTGTCTTCATGTTTTAATGTTTTCCAATAGCACCACCCTCTCATTATTTCGAAATCGTACTTCAGTTTGTCTAACTTACAAAAATCTAACCTGAGTGTTTGCAAATTATAAGGATTGGTATTATATTTCCTTTTGTTTATTTCTTTCACTATTCTTACGTCTTTAGTGGTTCCGAAATTGGATTTTAGACTTTTTGTTTCCTTATCATGTTCAATTCTTCTTTTTTTAGCTTGTATTGTATTATTATGGTATTGAGAATTTACTCCACCATTAGTTATCTTAAAGTACTTTTTCTTTATCTCATCGTAGTAGTAGCCTGGTATTTCAATAACAGCCATATTTTAGTTAGAAGAAATGTACCATGTCTGTTACTATTTTGCACTTTATAAATTGTAATATAGGTATCAATATCTTTTTTCTGTGAAGACATTAATTAGATAAAAAAAAATAGCGAGCCCGTGACTCGAAGAGTTTAGTTGCAATTACATATATACAATTTACATTGCATCCCTGATTTATATTTCGTAAGTTGATGAATATTCTTAAATTACCATTAACCTAGAATAATATTCCAAATCTTTTTTTTAATGAATTATAGTAGAAAGTTGTAATTCAAATTTTTCAATTTTTTCTTCAAGCACTAAAGTATATTCTGTGTATATATGCTAATGTTCTCTTATATTAAAGAAAACGAGGGACCAACATAGTAATTATTTATCTATACCTTGCATGTATGATATCTACCTTGTAGAACTATATTAACTTTCTATATCACACGTAGATAATTAACTAACTACCTTTCTACCTGTCTACGTATCTACACACCTAACTAACTAACTAACTAACTAACTAACTAACTAACTACCTGACTAAATACCTGTTCTAACTAACTTAAGCCATCTATAATTAGTGCGTAATTTGTTTACTCATTTAATGAAACTTCAAAAATAATATACTCTACTTATACAATTTTGGAACACTATGTAAGATACGTATAATGATATATGTATATTTGTATTCTCTTGTATTTCTGTAAGGAAATTGGAGACTAATTTAGAATTAATTATTTATACTTTGTATATACGTTCTATTAAGGAAAATCTACTCTATTTATATTTGCAACACATACACTTATTAAATAAGTATATGTATACTTGTGTTCACATACAATTTCAACAGTTCTC